AGCAGCTGCCCAGAGCCTGGGCACTGCCCCGAGCCCGGCACGGCCTCTGTAAGCACAGATACCTTGTCAGCAAATGCAGCCTGTCCCCACACCACGCAGTACACACTTGCCACGGTGGCCACGCCACACCGCCGTGTGGGAGGTGTGACGGGAAGGGTTCTGGGGGCCGCCGGTGCAGGTGGGGGAGGGTCTCTCGCTTGCAGGACGTCTGACCAGGGCACACGCAGTCTCAGGAAGGCTGCCACACACACGAGAGGAAACGCAGCGGACTGGGGTGGAATGCACACGGACGACGAACCGTGTGGTGGAATTTTGACCTCAGACTTTGTCTTCTTTAAGGGCTCGTAGAAAACCCTGGGAGCCAGCAGTGACCGGAGAGGAGGGAGCATCGCGACTCAGAGAAGGGGGGGTGGACAGAGTCTCAAGGCCACGCCGAGGCTGAAGATGGGCCCCTCCAAGCACAGGACGGGAGAGAGACCACTCTGGAAGCCAGGCCACATCCTCTGCTATCACGAGCCCCCACGATCACAGCGCCACATCCCCGGGCCTCTGTCCCCGGGTTGTCATATCGCCAGTGCGTGCTTGTTAGTTTGCTCAGACTCAAGACCCTGCGGCCACCAACTAACTGTCCTGCACTTTCAGACCAAGGTCACGCCTTCTGAACACAGTGCCCGCGTGAAACATCAGACAGAAAACACGGCAATGTCACAGCGCTCCCACTGGCGGGCCGACGGCTACTTCCACTTTCACTGCCCTCTGCCCCGTGCTGACAATGTGAACAGGTTGTGGCCACGCGGCAGTGAACCAACCCCGACAGACAGCATCAGCCGTGAACGTCTCCCGAGACCCCACTGATATGCTGGAACAGAACAAAAGGGAAATACCTTCCCGAAAGGCACAGGTTTTGATTTTGATTTTCAGACTAAACAGACTTGGTGCCTTTTTATAGAGATTTTTCCAAGCATGCTGATTCTGGGTGTGTGCACCAGACAGAATACTGGGGGGCAGGTCACATCCGCAGGGTGGTGCTGGTGGAGCTCTGGGCCTAACCAGGCTCTTTGGGGTCCACTGAAACTACAACAGCTTTTAAAATGAAAACAAACAGGCCACCTGAGTGGCTTAGTCGGTTAAGCGGCCGACTTCGGCTCAGGTCATGATCTCGCTGTCCGTGAGTTCAAGCCCCGCGTCGGACTCTGTGCTGACGGCTCAGAGCCTGGAGCCTGCTTCCGATTCTGTGCCTCCTTCTCTCTCTGCCCCTTCCCTGCTCACGCTCTGTCTCTCTCTGTCTCTCAAAAGTAAATAATATTAAAAAAAATTTTTTACATAAACAAAATGAGGAAAACAAACAAACAAAACCCCACGAAACTAGATTCCGTTATTGATGGACTCTCCACAATGAGTTTATGTTAGGACAACGTGCTGAACCTGAGCTCATCCAGAAGTGCAGCAAAGTCACACGTGGCTGAGTCCACATGCCTACGTGACCTTTATCTGGGGAGTCCAAGCGGTGCAGGAGGTCAGCCGGGGTCAATGAGACCCAACAACACACGTCAGATGTTTGCATTTGTGGCTGAAGACAGGTCACGTCGCTGAGTGCTCTGGGCTTAAGTGTGTATATATTTACACCCTTCCGTGTCCTAAAAATGGCTTAAGATGACCCCCAATAATAGGTAAAATTTAACACGATAAATAAGATAAAAATGAGCAGATGAGGAAATCAGAGGAAAGGAGGAAGGACAGGGCCGGTCCAGTGACCAAAGGCACATGGGGAGCTTCCCATCCATGTGCAGGGCGGGCCCGACGGGCAGAGAACACGTTCTCCCCCGTGACCTCCCTGTCTGACATGGTTCGTCCCTCTGTAACACCGTTCAACACCCCCGCCCCCCACGCCGTGACAGGTGGGAGCATCTTGGGTGAGGACGTTTCAGGGAGGCACACGATGTGGTCCCCTCACGCGGTCATCTGAAGGTCGGGCTCAGGCCAGGCAGGCAACTCGCTGGGACAGTGGGTGCCCACCACCGTTGGCCACCATAACCTCGTTTGGAAACCAGTGGCAGATGAAAGCAGAGGTCTCTGATTGACGCCCAGCCGGGGAGCTGGGTCCTCCCTGCTGGGGCCCCCCCGCCAACTGTCCACCTCGGTGACACCAACTGGAGACCCTCACTGACGCCCCTCAGGGGCTGTGCGGTACACTTTGTAGGCCCCGCCCACTGGGCACCCGATTTCCCACAACAGCCACTGATGTGGGCATTATGCCTGTATGCCTTTCCACACAAGTGGTAAATGGCAGAGGGGGGCTCCATGTACAGTACAGGACGTCCCTCCACGCGGTAGGCAGTCCCCAAGGCTCTGCCCAAAACATTAGGGGTACAAGGTGATTAACAGCCACCGCTGCAACTCAGAGTCAATGGCAACTTCTGGGATAGTTGTAGAAGTTATCTACCAGTAAGAGGTCGGGAACCCACGGGTGACTCTACCGAAGGCATGACGATCCACCTCAACTCAGACGGAACAGCACAAAACTACATTGACCCCAACAAAAGGATGCGTGGTTTGGCCGCCAGAGCCTCCAAAGATGCTTACATCCAAAACTTGAAACAGTGGAACAGAGGCGTAGTGAGTGGCTGGTTACTTGCTTGAGAAAATTTTGGGGCGCCTGGGTGGCTCAGTCGGTTAAGTATCTGACTGTTGATTTTGTCTCAGGTCGTGATCTTGCCAATTGTGAGATCGAGCCCCACATCGGGCTCCGCACTGACAGCTTGGAGCCTGCTTGGGATCCTCTCTCTCTCTCTCTCTCTTCCCCTCCCCAGCTCATGCTCACACACTCTGTCTCAAAATAAATAAATAAGCTTTATATATATACACACACACACATATATATGTGTGTGTGTGTGTGTGTGTGTGCATATATATATAATGTGTATACACACACATATATATGTATATAGATAGACAAATATTTTTTCGTGATGTCTGGGGAGCCTTTGGAAACACAACTTCCTAGAGCCTATTTAATAAAACCTAACCACAACCTCACATTTTCTGGCAACCTTCCGAGACTGCCTTTAGTATTAAGAGAAAACCATGGCGGGAGAGAGCAGTCACTGGCCTGGTGAGCACTCAAAGACCCCAGGGGCTTCAGCAGCTCCAACGTGTGCCCACCTACAGGACACTGCTGGACATTCCTCTCCGGGAGGCAAAGGCTTCTTTCTGACATCGATTTGTCAGTTTCCTTCAAGGGGTCTCCAGCTATTACCTAAAATAAGGACAGTGTCATATGATATAAAAGCAAGGCAAGAGGCAGAAAGCATCGTGCAGACAAGCACACGTAGTTTTCAAAAAGCCTGATAAAGCCAAGGCTGTTCTGGTGCAACCAGAATTCACCAAGTTTCCTGGGTCCCAGCATGGCACCCCCCTCACCCCATTACGCCGCCAGCCTTTGCCAGCGTCTAAATGGAACGGGATCGAGAAAGACACCTACTCGTCCAAATCCACCCATATCTGTTCTGCAGTTTCCTCCCGCAGTGTCCTCACTACCTCCCCCCCAGAGAGTGCCGGGACCCCGATCAAGGGCACACAGGGACTGCTCACCCCCCTCCACCATCCACCGCTGGTCCCCAGGTCTGCGTCCCCACACCGGGAGGCCAGGAAGGACAACCCATGGCGGCCGGCATGCTGCACGTGCAGAGCTCAATAAATACATCCAGAGAATTTAAACGATACGAAAGCATCTCAGAAGGGGCAGGATCTGTTACAGGAATTCGGCAGAAATAGCCAACAGTTCTCTCTAACGAAACCACCACCACCACGAGAAGGTGAACAGGCGTGTGTTCCCGTGGCCCAGACGCGGCCAGAGCGCCCTGCCCAGCGTGCCGCCTGCACCTGACACTTGGTGCGTGGGACAGACGGTTCGCTCCGCAAATGCTCCCGCTGGTTTCCGGAACGCTCCCACTGCACGGTACCGCCCCTCTGCCTCGGCAAGGCCCGTAGGCCATCCTGTGCAGATCGATGGACACGATTCTTCCCTGAGTGCAGTTTACAATGCTGCTGTGTCCCCACCACGCGTGTCTTGAGCCGCTTCAGGAGGGACAGAAACGTCCCTTCTTTTGAACACAGATTTCTACCGTGAGGAAGACATATCATTCCAGTATTTGCCACAATTAAAGCGTGTGCATCATTTACAGCTATTACTACAAATAATTACTTTCTAAAGCTCGAACGTTAGACTTTGGCTTGCTAACCCAAAGATAGACAATACAGTGACTTGACTGCCATAAACATGAGGCATTTTCTGAGGTCACTATTTAGATCAAATAATTCTACAAATACCAAAGCAAGCTAAGGTCACCCACGGAAATGTGCCATTTCATGAACCCTCCTGACTTTCCAGTTTTCCTCTTCCAGGTGACTTGAAACCAACATGTTTTAAAGGTATAAGCTCTAAAAGGTTACGATTTCATTAAAAACAATGCTTAAATACAGAACTGGCTCTCAGGAAGCTTAGAATCTAGTTGACGGTGGAGGATACATACCCCTGCTCAAAATCGCTGACCCCCTCAAAGAACCAACTGCTTCCTAAACTACTACCGCCATGAATATTTCTGCCTCCAATCCACGCATTTTATTCCCTGTGTATACAGTTGAAAATTCCCTCCTGACACATTTTTCTCTTTGGAAAGAAATAACACAGTTGAGTACACTTTAAAATACCAAGCTTGTATTAGGGCTTCGTGTGTAAAGGAACAATCACAAGCACCACGCATGTCTGAAGCTTCATTATAAAGAGAGCTTGGAAGGAGCAGGGAGTGTCCCCGAGGGTGCTCATGTCAGAGACATGCATCACAGGTGGGGACGAACACTTGGAAATCCTGAATACCCTCCCTGTCACCGTCACCAGCACTCAAGGGGCAAAGTTTCCCTCGGAAATTTCTAGGCTGCAAACTCTGAAATCATTCCTTTCCAAAGTAAAGTCATGGGAGTCCACATTCGAGAGGGCTTACCTGGTAATCTGTGTTCTTGTACTGAAGTCAAGAGACCTCATTGAGCGGAGAACTTCAATGCACCCCAAGTACTGGAAGGGGAAGAAAACGTAAATCATGAGCCCTGGGGACTGAGACGAAGAGACAGTTCTTAACTGTGTAAAGGGCGTTTTGGAAAGCCATATATATTTCTTAGATCTCATTTTATGTACATCATGAGGCTTTGTTATCTTCTGTAAAAGCAATAACCCACACCCTTACGAAACTAACCTCAGTGCCTATGTCGGTACTAGACTTGACTCTTCTGAGTTCCATCAGTATTTTCATTTTAGTTAGAGGTACATTTTTAAAAATTTGTGTTGCGTTGTAACATGTACCGTCAACCACACAAGTCTTAAATGCAGAATTCAGTTATTGCCAAAACACGTACCTGCGTGTAACCACCACTCAGAGCCCAACATCCCAACATCGTATTTCTAGCCCTTTACGAGGGCCTAGAGGCTTGTCATTTTTAAAGAAGTAATGAAAACGCTATAATACCATTTCAACCAATGGTAAACTTCATTATTTAATAAATATACTTTGAGTTCCATGAACAAACTATACATTACCCTGATAGTTGCTTTCTTTTGGCTTACCAGAAAGCCCTCTCCTGCATTATATAACACAAACTTTCAGAAGTTCTAATTTACACATCTAAATTTGTAGCTAAATTTTTAATCAGTTTCACACATGTAAGTGCATGTGTGTATGTAAATATACGGACATAACGAAAGCTGTAGATAAACAACTAGCACGGTAGAGATACAATATTTGTGTTCCAAAGCCCTGGGGAGTTTGAAGGACAGATGTTTTATACCAATGCCTTTAAAATTAGACTTTGCAGGAAGAGACCTCATGGTGTATCACAGAAAAGACTGCATTTGAATTATTCAGAAAACCTGAATTGGAGCCTGACTCTGTCATATCTTGTTATGTAACTCGAAGCGAAACTTTAAAATTCTCTGAGCCTGAGCCTCTGTACCCATAAAATGTAACTACTGTTCCAACCATTGGGTGGCTCTGTGATGTCACCGCCACCACCACATCACACGGTTGTTGGAACACCACCACCACGGTGGTCAGGAGGATACCATGAACAACGTCGTAGAGCCACACGAATCAGATGACCACCAGCACTGCAGAGGCACGTGATTACACTGACCAACATCACAGACCTACCTGTGGACCAGGACCAACACCATGGGACTACGTGACTCTTAACACCACCAAAGCACAGAGTTACGCGAATACCACATCCCATCACAGGGCCGCGTGAATACCGCAGTGATGTCCCAAGTTACATGAGAAGCAGGAACCACACTGCAGGGTTGTGGGAGCACCAGCACTGCTGTTATGCTTGTGGGAACGCCACCGCCACCACGGCAGGGTTTTGTGAATATTGCTATCACCATCGCTCAAATGTGTGAAGACCACAACCCACTTTGCTGAGTTGCAGGACTGCCATATCCATCACTGTCACAGCACGGGGACACCACAACAGTGTCCCAGATATCCCAGGGTTATGTGAATACCACCATCAGCAATGTTACAAAGTAAAGTCATTAATATGACCAAAGTGGCAGAACGGTGTCGATAATAACACCACTACCTCTCAAAGATACAGAGTTACACAATTTCACACCCGCAATTGCAGACTCATGGGAAGACCCCATGACCATCATTGCAGACGTGTGACTGTGACAAGAACCACTGCAGATAGCTGAATATCATGCCCACCGTCAAGAGCTATTAAATACCACAACCACCATTGTAGTTATGTGACTACGACACCACCACCACCACCACCGAGAAATGGGAATACCGTGAACACCATCAGAGTTATGTGAATACCACCAGCAACATCGTGGTGATATATAAGTGCCGTGATCACAAACATCACAGAATTATCTGAATGCCACATCCAGTCTCATAGTTATGTGTTCCTGGGACGAACCTTGCAGAGCTACGTGTATACCAAATCCACCGATATCACAGAGTTACATCAGTACTACGATGATCATCACAGAGTTATATGGATAGCACGCCTGGCTTTGCAGCAATACATGTATCCCCATGCCACCACTGCAGCTATGTAAATATACAGACCACCACCACTACAGAATTATGCAAATACCACCAACACCACAAATGCCCCCCCCAAGCACCACTGCAGTTATCTGAACACCCCACCAATAGCATCTCAGATTTATGGGAAGATGATCAAATTTATTGAAGAGGTCTGTGAATACTGTCACCAACATCACAGAGTTATATGACTACAACTAACAGCCTCACAGTTATATGGATACCAGAACCACCATCACAGGGTTATGCGAAGGCCACACCAGTCCTGAAAGATTGTGTGAACACCATGACCACCATTTCTGAGTTACAAGAAGGCCATGATGGACTTTGCAGAGTTACAGGATTAGCACACCCAACACCATCTCAGCGCTTTGTGAAGATCACTACTACTGCCGTGTAGAATTATCTGAATCCCACAGCCACCAAGGCAGAGCTAGGAGAATACTACCACCATGGCCATCACAGAGATACATGAACACCACGACCACTGTCACAGAGCCATGCAAACACTGCCACCACCACTGTTGCGGAGCCTTGTGAATACCATGGCCACCAACCAGGAGGGTTATGTGATTCTCCTAACTAAAGCTGCAGATTTACATGAATATCACTAGCATGATCTCAAAGTGATGTGCTAATGCCAACACCACCATCATAGAGTTATGCAGACACCACGACCAAGTCATAGGGTTGTCTGAGTTATACCATCACCACTGTCACAAGATACAATGACTGTCACCATCAACTCTGTGCAGTCGCGCTAATGCCATGACAAATGAGTGTTGCAGGGTTGTAGGAACACCATGCTGAGCTTCACAGACCATGTGCACATAACCTCCACCACCATCACGGTGGTATGTGAATACAAGGCCACTGTCACATAGTTATTTGACTATCACCTCCACCACCATCACGGTGGTATGTGAATACCATGACCCACATCACAGAGTCAAAGCAACAACACCAGCAATGTCACAGAGTCACAGAAATGCAAGTACCACAGTTGCAGGTTATGCGCACACGAACACCAGCTCCATGAAAGAGCCACGTGGACACCATGACCGGCTTCTGGAGCTATGTGACTAGCTGGCCAAGATGCAGCTAAGGGAAGACTACCAGAAATATGATCATAAAGTTATGTACTACCATGACAACACCACAGGGTTATGGAGACGCCACGACCGACACCACAGTGACATCTGAATGCCATCACCACCACCCCATTGCAGGTATGGAATATCATGACCACCACAGCAGGCATATGTGACCACCATGACAAATACCACCACCATGGTAGGAGAACTATATGAACACCACTACCACCAATGTTGAGGTTTTGTGGATACCACCAGTGCGCTGCACTGCACAATTCTGTCAACACCGTGACGAACGTGCATCCCTCCACTAACACAGTTGTGTGGAAACCACAGTGTCGTCGAATTACGTGAATACCTCCAATACCGTCACAGTTACATATGGACCACAACCAACAATATGGAATTCTGTGAGCACCATGACCATCGCATTTACGGAACCACAACCGCCACCCCGGCAGTCGTGTGTAATGTAAGTACCGCCACCACCACCAGCCACGTCACTGCCCCTACCGCTGTCAGCATCGTGTGAATACAACCACGGCAGCTGTCCCGAAGTTACACGAAGACCATGACCAACTCCAGCAAGTCACAGGATTACCACCACCACTGCCACACTGGAGTGCTAGGTGAGGGTCACAACTAGTGTCACAGACCTGAATCATGCCCCCCAGGTCTGCAGCAATCTGCCCTCTTACCATCAATGTTTAAGGAAACTTATTTCTACCCCTCATAACACGATACAGCATCGATCTCCGAATCTCTGCCTATCACGCGCAAAAGTATCTCATCCTCGTTCCGATGTGCATTTCCCTGATGTCTATAAGGCAGTGTGATTCATCTCGCATGTGTGTTAGCCACTTTCACCCCCTTTTTCCATTAACTAACTGCTTTGATCTTGGGCCCAGTTTCCTATTATATTCCTTATCTTTCTATTATAGACTAAAGGGATGATAATCTCCCATTCAGTCATTTCTCGTTTGATGGTGTCGGCATTTTACCTAACACAAACTGTTACTGCAGTAAACACTGTACCAATTCCTGTAACCACACGTCTGTCATTTTCTGTATGGCTCTGGAGGGTCCTGTCTTGCACGAGAATGTCACGATATTCTCCTAAATTGTATTTCACAACATTGATTTATGATTTATCTACGCATTCACTTCTTTAAGTGTTTTCGGTAATGTTTTCCATTTGGCTTTTTAACCTATTTGGAACTCACTTGTCTGTACAGGACGCGGCGTGAGTTAATAAAGTTGGCCTCCAGAGGGACTGTGATCTACACCACTGCCACTGACCTAGTAGTTCATCCAAGTCTTTCTGCAGTGATGTGCCAACTTCGCGGTATATTAAATTCTTATTTTCTGTGTGGACCTCTACCGGAGCTCTATTCTGTTATACTTTGTGTGTCAGTCCCACATCTTTTGTGTATATTTTTCCTGAAGAACTTTAAAATCATGTTCTGAAATCCCTCCACCACTCAAAAACTGGCTTCTATTTGAAATTTCATATTACCTTGAGAAGAACTTATATTTGCCGTTAAGCTTTTTATCCATAATCGTTGGAGTGTCTCCATTTTAGATATTATTTATTGCCTTTAGGAAGACTTTGTGGTTTTTATGGCATTTACCCTGTACTTTTCTTCTCCAACGTATTCCAACACATTTTTTTTTTTTAATTTTGGTTACCAGTGAGGATGACATTTTGATTTTTCCGTTGTACTTCTAATCTGGTTTTCACCAGCAGAGAGAAAGTCTATCGAATTGTGGGTATAAACAGAAAACTCAATCAATGGGCTCCAGAGATGCACAAAGAATTATGAAAACTGAACTCAGAAAACTGGACTCAGAAAACCTCCCCAAACCAGAGA